ATATCCACCCTGAAGGTTAATCTTGGATAATATCTGATGATCGACTCTTTTAAATGAAACCAGAGAGCGTTGACAGAGAGGAGAAGGTAGAAATGACTCAGCCTGGAACTGAAAATATAGATGGAGGACCTCAGCTTAGCTTTGTTTGTCGCACTAGCACCAAGCTAATACATACTGTATATACGGTGATAGCATTGGAGCTAACGCTAAAGCTAACAGGCTAAACTGAGGTTCTTCTTCCATGAAGCAGCTCTGTTGTCCTCCATCCATATTTTCAGTTACAGGCTGAGTCATTTCTACCTTCTCCTCTCTGTCAACGCTCTCTGGTTTCATTTAAAAGAGTCGATCATCAGATATTATCCAAGATTAACCTTCAGGGTGGATATAGCTCGCTAGCAGCCTTGCACAGAGGACCTAGTTGATGTCATCATTTAACCAGAATGCTTTGTGTGTAAATAAAATGGCTTCATCCGTGTTAAAATATATTAAAAATTTATAAAACTAAACATCCTACAGTATTTTTACAGTCTTTAATTTACAGTTAAAATAAATGTTTATCAAATAAAGTCTAATGTTACAGCTAATTGTGGATCCCTTTAAAACATTAAATCTGCAGCTCCATCAGAGTTGTCACTGTCCTCCTGGATGTGTCTCTGGTTAACACCCTCCTTACCTGCTGAGTTCGCCCAGATGACCCTCTCTTAGCAGGTTTGCTGTGGTGGCGTCATCTGTTCCTAATAGATTTAATGGAGCTCTCTGGGATGTTCAGAGTCCTGAGATTATTTTCTTTCTCACTACTTCGATGTTGAACTGGTGTTAATTTTGTTGTCTGTGTGTTTCTGTACACACTGGGATCTTTCAATATCCAGTTTGCTCACAGGTGGATCTAATTTAACTAATTATGTGGTTTCTGAATGTAATGGTTGTTGCTTTAAATAGCAGTGCTCCTGGTAACCTGTGTTTAAAGTTGAAGGCACCATGGAGTCTTGTAGCCTTTTTAAAGTAAAAAAAAAAACAAGTAAATGGCACAAAAAAATAAACTTTAAATGTTAAAGACCTTCTGTTTAGTTTTAAGCATCAATGTGATTTTTATAAACGGTGCTTTCAAATCTTTGGTTGCATTTGCTGATTAACTGTCTGAATGTTTTCGTTTAAAAGTCAAAGTTTTACATTCACAACTATGTGGTCTTATTTTTCTTCTAGTTGCAATTTTGGAAAAGTGTGTGCACAAGATCACCAAGTTGTCAAATGAGGAGAACTTGTGTAGGAAACTCAGCAGGGAGAAGATATTGACTTCAGCATCACATTGATCAGCCACATGTTGCRCTTGTACAATTAACTAACCTTATGTGAAGAATAATGTAGACTTGAATTAGCAGGATTACTGTAAACAATAATAAACAGTGGCAGTGCAGGTGGTAACTAGACATGCAGGTTATATCTTATTTTCATTCTTGTTTCACTAAATCTCGATTGTGTAACAGATTTAATGTTGTGCTGCTGGTGACCTGCTTCTCTCCTTTTCCAGCAGCAGTATTTATTTGCCAGTAGCTGAGCCTGAGAAGCTAATTTATACTGATGCRTACTTCCTGCTGTTGAGCTGCAGAGAATGTCTGAGGCTCTTGAAATACTACTGGCAAATTTTAGGTCAACTAAATGACAGTGCTTTTACATTTGTTTACAACAAAGGCTGTCATTTTCTAAACAGGCTGGTTAAGCAATCAAAATTAAGGAAAACACTAAATATAAACGTTGCATTAATGCATGCATGTAGAAAGACCAGCACTATGATTAAACCTTTAGAGAATATTTTTGCAGTGTATATTCTAAGCTAACACTGATCTGCACTGCCTCTGCCTTAATGCTGTTTTAACACTTTAATATCACAACTATTTCTCTTTTTATCTTTTGAAAACACACATCTATTTGAGTAAAACATCTTTTTATTATTTGGTTGAAATTAAACAATTCCTACCTAATTTTTAAAAGTGGGTGAGGAATTTAGGGTTATATTAACTGAGAGAAATGCACACACACAGGAAGGTGACTAAATTTAACTTGTGATTAGCTATTCAGAAGAATTTAATAATCTCTTAYTAAACAAATTAATGTTCAAAACTTTAATTTTCTGTGCTTCTACTTTCAGCAATTAGCTGCAGCAGCGAGTTTATTTTCTTTTTTTTTTCTGTACACCAGATCTTCTGCTCTAATTATATTTTCAGCTCCTCCCACCCACTACTGTTGTCTTTAACTCAAATCCCTCTTTGTTTGCTTGAAACACAACTTTATGGCAAACCAACATGAAAGTGTTAATCTGGAATATTTGTTTTTTTGGGGTTCTATGTGACTGTGGGAAACCATAAGTCACAGTTTTAATACTGAGGACTCTACAAACTGCTTAGTGTTTTTACTTTTAGTGCTTGTTAAAACATGTCAATTTGACAGATTCTAAGATACTGTTAATTAGGGGTGTAAGAAAATATCGATACACTGAAATATTGATATTTCATTTCCCGATACTGTATCGATATTCTAAAGCCCTGTATCGATTTTTTTTTATTAAGGTTTAAAATGTCAACTTTCCTGCCAGCCGTTCATTTTTATGTTGTAGTTCAGCCTCTGACCACTAGTTGGCAGCAGTGAGCCAGCCATTTGGCTCCTCTACCTCTTGAGGTAGAGGCTATTGTTAAGTGTTGGGTGACCATATTGTAAATTAATGTTAAAAACTAAAAGCTGCAAAAATATATTTTCAAACTATTTATTGTCAAATTTAGTCTAATAATTGAAAACATGGATGAAATAAGAAATAGGAAACAAATAAAATACATACAAAGCAGAACACAGCTAAATGAATCAAAAGCATGTCTCTGTAATATTAGAATTTTCTGAGACAATGAATTTTGGTTTTTCTTTTTTTTTTTTCCAGTTAGAGGTTTTAATTTAATAGAATTTTTGGACAAAAAATCGCAATATATCGCCTTGCTTACAGTATTGCAATATATCGGGATATATCGTATCGTGACCCCTCTGTCGTGATATGTATTGTATCGCCAAATTCTTGCCAATACACAGCCCTACTGTTAATCATAATAGCAAAATATACATTTAAAAATAATGCTGACAATTTTTTAATGACACTTTTGTGAGAATAACAGTTGAGTTTATTCCTTTTTAATGTAATTTGTCAGTGATTTACAGGTAGAGTAATCTGTATTTTAATTTGCTGCAGGTTCTTGAGTTGATTGTGGTGTTCAAGCTTTAACTGTTAAATTAAGCAGAGGTTCAAATTTTTGTTTTTAGTTATTTGGATGATAGAAATAGGAATTTTTGTCATTTGACTGAAGTCGGACTGTTTTTTGAAATGACTGAGTGGATAAGTGATTTATTTGTTTATTTGTTTAGTTTGTTTGTTTGCTGTAAGATCTCTGAACTGAAGGACGACTTGGTTTACTTTACTTGCTGCTTTCCAGCTTTGTGCTTGGACTACGTGTCTTTAAGGTCAGGATCAGTAATGGTGCTGGATGTGAGCCGAGCAGCAGCCAGCTGAGTTCTGCTCTTGTTTCTGTGTTTTTATCACCAATCCTTGTTTTTTTTTCACCTGTTGCTTTGGCTGGGATCCAATTTCAGCTGAAATCTTGAACAGAATTTAAATCATGAGAATTGTAGGATTTTGGCTCTTGTTTGAGCTGATCTGTACGGACAGCCAGTAATGTCCAACCAAGCTTGTGATCATGTCTGCCTGTTGCTTTTCTACTTGTTGATCTAACATGAAATACTTTCTGTGTCCATATTTTCAGACGGCAACTCCAAACTAACATGGCAGTCAGACTGTGCGATGTGGCTTCTCTGCTTAGAAGTGGTTCGTGGACGAATGAGCCTTGGACTGGGGTCTGTGGCACTTCTCTTTGTTTTCAATTATTTGGCCAGAAGGCCTGCCTTTGTCTCAGCGCTCAGGCCATACCAATACCTGCTGTCATATTTCAATGTTCGGCTCAATTGATTCAAATTTTGGGAATGCCCACACACCTGGGTTTAGAGGAAAAAGCTCCCAAAGTGTTTAATGATTGAATTGGTATGGTCTTAAACTGTCTGCYTTGTTTAACTCCGATCTGCTCATGCTTCATTAAAACTCCTTTTTTTAATTTATGCTCTGTTGCTTTTGTGCACAAACTAGATAAAGTGAATAATTTGAACTGTGGGACACTGACCTGTTTTCTGCACGAGGTGAATGTTTTAAGGATGACTCTTCATACATTGCTGCTGGTTGCTTTAACTTGTTCAAATCTTTAAAGCTTGTCTAATAGGACAGTGACAGCTGCAGATTTGGCGCTGCTGTGTTTGACGTAATCAGAAAAGTTTCTGTTGTTAGCCACATTTAATTATGAGCTGGAAAAATGCTACATTTGTCAAATTAAATGRACGTTTTGAAGGTAATTTGTGCTTCTTTTTAGAGTTTTTCCTTGAAATAAGAGTTTTTAGTTTGTTCAAATAATTTCATTCATAAAAACGATCTATACACAGTAAATTAAAATAAGTAAATCATGCCGCGAATAAAACGAGTGCAGAGTGAAGAAATTGTATCACATCTGCCCCTKAAGTAGTGACCATAAAATAGATCAAGAGGAAATTAGATTTGCAGATTTTTTTATTTAGTTAAGTCTACTTTATGTATAAATAAAAAGTAAGTTTACAATAATTTAAGTAAAACAAGATACAGATTTGAGCCCCTTTTGTAACCTGTTTGGATTTTTTTGATAAGCATTGACATCCATACCACTCTAACTTCCTAATCTTCACTGAATGTCTAACGATGATGATATATATTTTTTTATTTCAAGCTATATTCATTC